AACAACAGCGAACCATCACATAAACCGCCCATTCCTCTGACCAGCACCAGAAGAAACTCACTCCATGATGGCCCTGTAGATCCTGTCCACGCGGAAGCATCTCAAAAGGACCAGCTTCTGGAAGGAGGTCAGTGTCTTGTCGTAGCCAGCAGGGAGCTCGGTCGCCTCTGGCATGTCCAGGTCATACCACTGGTGGAGAAACACAAGGAACGAACGTTTTCTTAAATGGTCGCTTTTAAGCACAAGGGGGCTATCCCGAAATATGCTGTTTTGAGAAAATCGAAAGTAAAGTTTTTGCCCCTTGTTCAGTTTCTTTAAAAGACAAGGAGAGTTTTCTCTATAACCAAACAAATATACACACCAAGGAAACCAAACCTCTCCTATAGGTAGGGCAATACATGTTCCTACTTTTGGTGTAGGTCAAGATTTCTGGAAACCCCCGAAAACTGGGTTAGCCCGCTTGTCCTTAAAGGCGACCACTTGGGGGATCGGGTCTGGTCGGGGCGGATTGCTAGGCTGATTGAGGGCGCAAAGCGTGCTATACAAACGCTCTCTGTTATTTCAGATAACTAGGAGGGGTGGAGGGAAAGCACATTAAGGGGAGACATGCACTCCCGGAAAAAAAATCAAAACGAATGACTTTTATTCATCTTCATGTCATTGTACAAAAAGTTCATAGGTAACTAGCGTGCCCTAAGGGTGAATTTGTTGATTTGTTTTCTGAAAAAAATGGGTCTCTGTGGCGGCCACCTTGGATTTTCAAAACCAGGTTCTTAGTGCAGAAAAATTTCATTAAAAATATCGAAACTACAGCATGAAATTTGGTACACAAGTGCAAACCGATATGGACTGTGGATCTATGAAAAGATTTTAACCTATTTTTTATATTTAAAAAATGAGCACAAAAGTCAATGGACCCCCGAGAGTCAGTTAACAAAGCTTTGGGGATTATTTTAGAAACAAAATTGAATATTACCACAAGTTACCATTATTTCCCATTTTCCTCACATAAATCCCCAGAATAGATCTTAAAGCACTTGAATGCCGAAATTTTAAGCTCCTCACTTTTGCAGTTTTGAGAAAACTCCTCGCACCAAGGAGGTCATATATGTCAAAAAGCAGATTTTGAGAAGAAAAAAAATCCAGAAAAAACAGGAATTTTTGGAAGGATTTGTAGTTCAATATTATGCACTTTTCCAACGCCCCTATCAGTCTTTTAGGATGTTTTTATTTTAATTGTTTTGTGACCCGATAGATCAGAAGATGCCACATGATTTTTTTCTCTGGGATCGCCATACCGGGTCTCCCCGTAAGTCAAAGCAGTGGATGGTTGGCGGGTGCTCTGGTGTGGTTTGCTTCTTCTTTCCTATAAAAAATCTATCGTCCTTATCTCCCCCTTCATCTTTTTTATGTTTGTTACTCTCTTGTAACACCTCTAATCTTCTGGTGCTCATGTGACCTTATGCAGTTGCGAGCGTCGAAAAACCCCTACTAAACTAAAACTAAGTCCAACCTGTGTAAGACGACCGCTGATCGTTAAGGAGAAAATTGATCGTCTTAAAGACGTGGTCATCTTACGCAATGATATTGTGGTATAGAAATAAAACCGTAAGAGGAGAGTGGCAAGTGGTCTTTTGTACATGGGATTGTCTTGGACAGGTAGACGTAAAAGCAGGCTCATAAATGGTCGCTTTTAAGGACAAGCGGGCTAACCCAGATTTCGGGGTTTCTTAAAATCTTGCCCTGCACCAAAAGTGGGCATTGCTCTACTTATAGGAGACGTTTAGTTTCATTGGTGAGTATTT